GAGCAATGTGAGGCAGCAAGTTACTAGTGATGACTTGGAGGCTGGAAAAGTTACCAAGTGTCATGTGAGACCAAGAATTTCCATGAAGGGAAGCCTTCCACATAAGCCTCTAGCAGAACCCCGGCTGGATCCACCTGGCCAAAACTGGGATAGATATATGCTTTTATCAGTTAAAAAGAGTAATGAATTCCCCCTAAAGGCTCAGACTGCTCAAGATTTCCTCCAGGGAATGGGCACAGAAGCTGGCTGTGCCTTAGCACATCAGGGTGACCGATGCCCACTGTGCAAGGTGGTAGAGGGGAGACGGCTTCTACCAGAGAAACTGGCAGTGATTTAACTGTGGCAAAGGTCTCAAGCAGTTTAGAACATGCAGCAGCTCCTGTAAGCCTCACACACACCTGGACCTCATGGGGAATCTCACCTGTCTGGAGATTTACAAGTAGTATAAGGTTCAACTTCAGGCAGATGGCTCCCACACAAAGGCCCTGTAGTTCCATAATACTAAAGAAAGAACTTTCTCAAGTGTGGACTTTCAGGAGCTAAAGAATGCTAGACCTTGGGCTGAAGCCTTTTCCACATTTGCTCTCTTAATGGGGCCTCTCCACAGTGTGAGATTTTCGGTGGAGAATGAGGCCAGAGTGTTGTGTAAAGGATTTCCCACATTTGCCACACTCATAAGGTCTTTCTCCAGTGTGAACCACCTGGTGTTGAATGAGGCCAGACTTTTGGATAAACGATTTTCCACACTGGCCACAGTCATACGGCCTTAATCCAGTGTGAATTTTCTGGTGTTCAACAAGGGTATAGCTTTGTCTAAAAAATTTCCCACATTCACTGCACTCAAAAGGCCTTTCTCCAGTGTGAGTTCTCTGGTGCCGAACAAGTTTAGATTTGAACATAAAAGCTTTCCCACATTCCCCGCACACATAAGGTCTTTCTGCAGTGTGAACTTTGTAGTGTTTATTGAGGGTGGTTCTTTGGCTAAATGATTTTCCACACTGGTCACACTCAAAAGGCCTAGCTCCACTGTGAATTAACTGGTGCTGAATGAGGCCATATTTTAGGCTAAATGATTTCCCACACTGGCCACACTCATACGGCCTTGCTCCAGTGTGAATTATCTGGTGTTCCAGAAGGCTGTGGCTCTGTGTAAAGAATTTCCCACATTCACCACATTCATAAGGCTTTTCTCCTGTGTGAGTTCTCTGGTGCCGAACAAGAGTGGATTTGGACCCAAAGGCTTTTCCACATTCATCGCACTCATAAGGCCTTTCTCCAGTGTGAATTCTGCAGTGTTCAATAAGATTGGAACTCTGGCTAAACGATTTCCCACATTCACCACATTCATAAGGCCTTTCTCCGGTGTGAACTCTGTGATGTTTAATGAGGGTAGCTCTTTGGCTGAATGATTTCCCACACTGACCACACACATAAGGCCTTTCTCCAGTGTGGATTCTCTGATGGTCATTTAGGTGGGAGGTTTGGCTAAAACATTTCCCACATACACTGCATTCGTACGGCCTTTCTCCATTGTGGACTCTCTGGAGCTGAACAATTGAGTACTCACAGCGGTAGGCTTTCCCACATTTGCTAGATTCATAAAGGCTTTTTCCAGCATAGACTCTTGGGTGAACAAAAGTATGTTTGTGGTTAGTAGCTTTTCTGCATTCACCCCACTTGTAATGACTTGTTCCAGTGTGAAAGGCCTCCTCATACTCGATGATTTTCTCTGGCTTCTCACAGTTGGGAATGGCCTGGGGCTGGAGAAGGCCAAGTGTGGCTGGGAGGTCCTGCCCAAACTCCTTACTGGTGAAGGGCTTCCCTGACACATGGAATAGGTAACGCTTCACAAACAAGGGCTTGTTCACGTCGCTTTTCAAGAGTTTCTCAGCACTGTAATGCTTCTGATCCTGGCGAAAGGTCGCACATGCCCCAATCAAGTATAGTTTTTGCCCAGGCAGATCAGCCGGGTGCAAAATGTCTGTCAGGATTGGGACACATGTCTCACAGGGGTGAGTATTCTGGGTGGACGGACCTGCCTTCGGAGTCCTGACCTGTGACAGTCTTTCTACAGAAATGCTCTCCGCAGAAGGTGTCTCTTCGTCCTCTGTTCCATGCCAACAAACTGAAAGCAGAGAAATGTTAATGAAATGGATTATGCCTATGGTGGGAATGTATTAATCATTTAAAAAATCTATTTTCTGTATAATTTGATGTTTTGACATCTTAAAAACTTTGCTGGCTGGGGAGAGAATGTTGTTCCTAGAGCTAGCCTATTCTTAAAAGATAGCAAAGGGTTCAGCTGGGAGCATACCATTCAAACGTAAATTAGCCAATCCATCCCCTGTCATCCACATCACATTTTTTGATGTGGCTTGGACACTTCAGGAGATAATATTTCTCTGCCCTAATCACCCCAAGGTCAGGTAGCAGACCACTTAGGCTAGCCAGCCCCTTTGCCCCAAAGCCTGCTTGAATTATTCAAACTCCCCAATCCTGAGCTGTTTATCTTGTCCTGCTCTTCCTGCAGAAACCCCAACAAAACCTATAGTTTAATGTTTTTCCTCTTTTGCTTCTGCCTCCTGATTACTGGGCACTTCCTCATGTGGCACTGAGTGGCATGGTGTTCATGTTATCTTGCCACTGTAGGTAATAAATTCTTCTGTCATCGACATTAACTTCTCTGTATTGGGACTCAGTCACCTCCATAAATTAAAATCCTACAGATATGTTTTAAAACAGGTAAGAAGAAGCCCCACCACATATACATCAAAGAATGAGTCCACAGTGTTGCTCTGAGGATGAGGGAGCTGTAAGCAGGGTAAGGAATGGGCTGGAAGTACTGGGCCTCTAAAGATCACAAAAATGGGGAGTCTTCAGCAAAGGACACAGGATGGGGTACAGGACAGGGAGGAAAGGCAGGGTCTCCAATTTACTCCTTTGCCAGAGTCTTCAGGAAGGCCTTGCCAACTGGTGTCACACGCTTACTGTGCTGAAGGTGGGTAGTATCCAGGCCCAGGAAAATCGAGTTGTAACTGAGTAGGAGATTCCAATTGCGTTCATGGAATATTTAATAACACGGGCACACCTCCCGACACATCATGAGCAAGTCGGTGTTGGAAAATATCGTAGAGAGGGTGGGACAGAGGAATAGGCAACACGCGGAGGACATAAAGATGGGGCAGCATGAGGGTGGATGTCACAGATGAAACGATAAGCCAACAAAGTGTCAAGTAAGGGGAAGAAAAGGTAGAAACGAGGTGTGTTTAGTGGCATTAGCACCAAAATTCTAGTGGACATGGGAAAGGTTTCTGGTATGATTAGAAAATAGCCTGAATGTCAAGCCCTCCCCCAGCTGCTGCTGATTAAGGCCAGGTATCCTCTGAAGACATACTGCCATGTTCACCCTATGAAGCAACCAGGGCTTTCCTGACACCTCTAGGTGTACCACTACAAGAGATCTGTGTGAAACAACTCCTAAGGGAAAAGACAGGACAGGTGAGTGTCTAGCACTGGCCCAGAGCAACTGAGCACAACAGAGACCACAGGAAAGAAAATCATTATCACACAGATCCCTGAAGGAGGTTCTGGAAACAACAGGCCATGGTCCATGTAAATATTGATGAGGAAAATGCCTGCAAGTTCCTAACACAGGCAGCCACAGGAAATATAATCTAAACAAAGGGGGCAGAACTTGGGACACAAAGTGCTATAGAGCTGGACACAGTAACCCGAAAAGGGAGTGAGTAAGTAAGGTGAGATGCATTAGGCTGACCCAAGACACCTGACACCCAGACCCTTCTCTGCACGCTTTGAGACAGCAGTTGTCAGGGCTGCTCCGGGATTGGACACAGCTCATCCCTGACACCACAGCACATATGCCAAGACAGTGGGGAAGTCCGTAGAGCCCATGGTCTGGTTCTGGACAGGGCAGAGCTGCCACTGAGGAAAAAGCAGAGAGACAGAGACCAGCACACTGAAGTGGGTGTTAGGGCCTTACCCAGTGAGGATATAAGTGCAAAGTTCTCCAGCATCACATCGTGGTACAGGAGCCTCTGAGCCTCATCAAGGAGCCCCCACTCTTCCTGGGAGAAGTAAATGGCCACGTCCTCAAAGGTCACAGAGCCCTGCCACGATGGGGACAGATCTTTCCATAATCAGATTCTCTCCCTACAACCCTGAATTCATCCCACCACCCCATCCTTCCCCTGCTTATCCTTGTCCCTAATCCCCACCTCAGAAGAGTCACCAGGGTACTGATTCCTGCCCTGTCCTCATGATCCCATTGATCACTGTGTCCTACCACAGCACCAACAGGCAGGCAGATCAGGAGATGCCATTTAAATCTGGGCCTGGCACGTAGGGCTGGATCCCTTCTTGTCAGAAAATTTTCCTTGGGTTCCCAAAATTGTGCCCCTCAAACACAAACGTGTCCTGAATGCCACAATCACGGGTCCTTTATTTCACACTCTCTCTCCACATGAAGCACATCACTTTTTGGCACACACTCTCACACATGGTCTCACTTCCACAGCTACTTCCATTCCCATGCCCCACACCATAGGCATCTCCCTGGCCTCCTCACATTACTCAAAACATGACATCCAGTGATCTTGTCTCAATTACTCCTAGGCCTTCACATTTATCTCATACCCACTCTTCCCTTAGAGCCTTGGCCACTTGCCAGATCATCCTTGCTCTCACACCCTCCCCACGGCCACTTCTCTCTCATACCTGTCTTTGTGATTCCCAACACAATCACCGAGGTACCCAAGCATAAGATCCAGCAGTGACCCCCACCCTACCTTCCCTGGGCTGCTAACAGCATCACCAGAGTGACCAGGATTTCTCCTCCTAATTATGACCCAAGCTACAGCACTGGGCAAACACTGGTAACACCTTTTTAACGTCCCCATCCTCAATCCCTCGACACAGTTCTAGTTCTATGTGGTCAACTAACCACTCGATGTCTAAACTAACTGTTATTGGAAACATCTGACATCTAAAGATATCCCAAAACAAAATTTCTGTTATTGCCAAGATTTGACCCTACTACCAACTTTATAATACTGGTTAGTGGAGTTTCCATACTTCTAGCTGCTAAACCTAAACACCTTGCTTTCACCCCGACTCCCACTTTTCTATCTCTCACTCTCAACAACTGAAAATCTGGGCATCCTTCTGTAGTCCTAACTACTTAGGAGCCTGAGGCGGGAGGATCACTTGAGCCCAGTAGTTCAAGGCTGCAGTGAACTATGATTGTGCCACTATGTTCCATCCTGGGTGACAGAACAAAACCTCATCTCTTAAAGAAAAAAAAGAAAAAAGAAAAAAATGAAACTCTAGTCTTTCTTACTTAAAAAACTGATCTAGAATCCAACTACTTCTACCACCTCCATGGCCACCATTCTGGTCTAGCCATCATTAACACTCCCCTAGACTACTGCAGCAGCCTTCTTCTCAGTCTTCCTATCCCAATCCCTCACACTCAGTCTGCCCCCAAATTCCCATTGCTCACTTCACACTAGTAGAGACACCTAACATCTGAGAGACATTCCTGGTTTGACTCCTGCACCCCAGCTTTCAGTTCCCATAAAAAAGAAAGAAGACTTGTGCTTCCCTAAACCAAGTCAGCCTTACCATCGAGCATATGCTTGTGTGATGTCTAAGACTGAGACAACTTTCCATACCTTACTGTACTGGTTTTCAGTAATGGGAAATATTCTATATAGCCCCCAGCCTGGATGTATGGCGGTGCATTGATGTTTGCTCAGGGTCCCTAGGCCCAAAGACTGGAAGAGTGCCAGGAGATGAGTCCCAGAAATCAATTCCAGAGGCAAACACTGGGGTCAGCACCAGGGAGTGCCTGAAACACCCTTCACTCACCTGTGTGAAGCCTGGAAGTGCATCTGTAGTCAGGGGAACCTGTGGGAAGAGGAAGGCTGTGAGAAGTCGGTCACGGTGGGGGGGAGAGGAGGGCGGGGTTTCCATGGGTGCAGGCCTCCTTGTTCCCCTGGGCAGCCCTGGAGCCAGATGACCTGGGGATGAATGCATTGTCAGTGCTCCTCTGTCTCCCAGTCCTCACTCTTACCTGCAGTGTGACTTTGCACAAAGACTCGACCTCCCTGTGCCTCACTGTTATACCATCCCCTTTCCAGGCTGTTCTGTCAGCCTAACTCAGACCATGTGTTGCTTCTGTTCACAACCTTCCATAGCTCCCAGCGTCCTGAGAATGAAGGAAGGTAAAACTCCTAACCTTGCCATTCCAGTCGTGAACGCTGTCGGCTCAATCGTCCCAACAAGGTTTTTACACAAACCGGTCCCGCTACCTGTCACATTCTCCCACACTCCATGACACTAGCTTTGGAAATGGCTCCCCACACAAGCTCTTGCACTGTCCTGGACACGGGGATCTCTACTGCAGCGACGTGAGCGGGCGCCCCTGAGTGGGGCTTTAGGACTTGGGTGGGGCGCGGGCAAGTGAGGCCCGGAGGACGCGGCACTTACCTGAGCCGGGTTCCTCAGCGCGGCCGCCGCCATCGGTCTGTGGGCGGTTCGGGGTCAGGAGCTGCGGGCGACCGGGGCGAAGACCCCTCACCAAGGCCGCCGACCCACCAGCTGCTATCCAGCGGGGTCGACCCCTGTCTGAAGCCCGACTCCGCGCTGCTCCCTGCTGCCGTACACCGAGCCAGAGCACAACTAAAATGACTGTCCCGGGAGCGACGCCGGAAGTCCCGCCCCGCCTGAGGGAACAAACACAGAAACGCCTGGTCCTGAGCGTTCATTGGCTCGGCGTCTTTGCAGTACGGCATTATGAGTAACGTAGTTCTCACGGCTCCGGCCTCCCAGCACCCTCCCCGAGATTCGCCCGGAACAAAGGCCAGGAGGGGCCGCGGGGGCCTCTGGGAAATAAACCTCCGCACCTTGGCGGGCAGAGGCGAAGCTTTGCGTCTTCTTAAAGGCGCCACTGGCCGATTTCCAGGCGGTCCTGTCTGCCCTTGAGCACCAGGTTGTTTAGCGGCGAGAGTTCAAACTCATCAAACGTAGACGCTCCCAGACGTGACGCAACCACCCCAAAGGCTGCGGACCCACGTGGAGACGCCACCCCCAGGGGCGTCTGGTGTGCGGAAGCGACGGAGCTGAGGGAGCCTCGCCTGCTGCTCTCCTCGCGCCCGAGGCTGAGGCGGCGGAGTCCGGCGGCCGCTGCCCTGGTTCCCGTCAGGGACGGGAGGAGAGTCCGGGCCGGGCGGCCTCGGGGCCCGGGGTTCACAGGGGCGGCTCGAGCCCCACAGGGGCCCCCTCCGCCGGCGGGCACCGGTCGGGTCGTCGTGGCGACGCGGAGACGCCGGGACGGGGACTGGGTCGCGCGGGGGCCCAACAGCGCCCGGCAGAGCGTCCTCCCGCGGCCCCTCCCGAGTCTCGGAGCCGCTCCCCGACCCCCGACGCCCAGGCCGGGGACCGGCTCCAGAAGCCCCGGGTCGGGCTCGCCGCCCGTCGTGTCGCGTCCTGGCGGGACCGTCCGCGCCTCCCCGGGCGTCGCTCGCACAGGCTGGGACTGAAGCCGGAGGGCGGCGGGCGCGGGGCTGGGGCCGGGGCTGTGCGGACCTCGGGGGCGGGCGGTGGGGACGCGAGAGGGCCGGCGAGCCCGGCGGGGAGAGGCTGACGGTGCAGAGCCCGGGTGCAGCCCGCGCCACGCCCTGAGGCCGCGAGTGGGAGTCGGGATCCGGTCGCTGCGGCGATGGGCGGCCCCGGGGACTTGGCCCTGAGAGGAGTGTCCTGAGAGGCGTCCGCGGAGGTGCCGATGCCCCTCGTATCCCGGGAGTCCTCAGCCTCGCCTGCGGCAGCGTAGCCAGCCACCTGCACCGAGGGGTCAGGCGTCCTCACCAGGGCTCCCCACACCTCTCGCCCTACCTGGTTCGCTCCCTTCCTCTCTTCCTGGGACCCCAGATGACACCTGGCTCTGAAAACTGGCAGCATATTGGTCTTCAGAGGAAACAAACAAAGCGTGTTCCCTTGGGACTGTGGAGCAGGGAGAACTCTTGTGGCTCCGCCGCATGTGCCTGTCCTGGGGCAGAGTCCTGAGCGAAGCAACGCGGAGGACTAGGGAGGCCAGCAGTGGCCCCCAGCGCGTCTACCTGGAGTCAGAGTGTCTGCAAAACAGCCAAAGCCTTCATGAACTCCTTCTAAGCAATTATCAAAAGAGAAAGGTGACAAACATGTGAAGAGAATTCAGACCGTGAGACTCTATTACAGGGTAAGAACGTGGTGTGCAGTCTGAGTGCAGGCAGTGAGGATCATTGCCGCTCCAGGTTCCTCCTGACGCTTTCATCCCCTGCTGCAGCACGTCGCCTCCATGAAAGGAGCATGTGCGTTACGTTACCATGGCGCTCCTGTTGCGGCCTCTCTGGGAGTCTCCACTGAAAGTCCAGGCTGTTCAGGGAGGGGTCTCCCTTCTGGTCCATGGGGATTCTAGTATCACCCAAACTGTTGCAGTCTATGCAATCTCCATCCAGTTCTCAGCACCTGCAGCTCTTCTCTGCTGGGCCTTGAGGAGTGTCGCTCTGCACAGGTACAGCTCAGTTTTCCGACAAACACGTGGTGACCCCATGCATGTTTCTGAGGAGTATCTCACTTTCTGTCAGGCTGACATATGAATTCAGCAACTTCCACAGTCCTGAGCCATGAGGAAATTGAAATCCACAGAGCACAGCATGAAACCTCAAACCTGTTTAAATGTAGGAAAAAAATCTTATTTGAAGCAGGAAGAGCTTTTTCTAGAAACTTACTTTTAGGGAAATTATTTTGTGAGTTGAATAAGGAGGGATGAAGCTCCCAAAATGACAGTCTCAAGTCACATTATATGTCGATTCTACTTCAGATAGGATGTGTCTATTTCCTGTTGGAGATTTATTTTGCTGTATAGAGTTTGCTCACTGGAAGAAAGTGGATTTCCCTGACTTCATGTGGGGAATGGAAGCGAGACTATGGGGGAAGGCATTTAACATGTGGGCTGCAAGCCTGACTAGGAGGGACAGTGGGGAAGAGAAGAAGGGAACCTCAGGAAATGGAACAGACTTAAAGGGTGGTGGAAGCAAGAGAGTTTTTCTTTCAACATTATAGATGTCAGTCCACGTTTGTAAATTGATGGGAGGTGAGGAGAGTGGGGAAAATAGATAAAGGGAATATCAAAAACAGCAGGAATATGTTACTTGAAATGTCAACATAATTAGTCATTAGGGATTTCAAATCAAAATTACAATGATACGCCATTTCACATCTACCAGGATGGATATGAAAACAAAAGAAATTAACAAAGCTGCAGAGAAATTGAAACCCTCATACGTTGTGGTGGGAATGTAAAAAGGTTCAGCTCTTGTGGAAAACAGTTTAGCAATTCCTCAAAAAGTTAAATATAGAATTGCCATCTGACACCACAATTCTACTGTTTGGTATATACTCCAGGAATTTAAAGCAGGGACTCAAACAGTTACTTGTACACCGATATTCAAAGCAGCACTATTCACAATATAAAAAGGGTGGAAATAACTCAAGTATCTATCAACAGATAAATAGATTTTTTTAAAATGTGATGCAGTCACACAATGGAGTAGTAATGAGCCATAAAAGGAATAAAGTTCCTTTTGCC